CCTTATTACGAATTTTTGCATAGTTAATAGGAAAAGCCATTGTGAATTGTTCCATGGTCCTCTCTGATGATTAGTGGTTGGCAACTAATCATTAGTTAGGAAATCCCCCATTTGATTGTTCTATGCTGCCTGTAGGGACACCTCAAGTGGTATAGTTGTAAATATTCCTTGTATATATCCTTTTTATTTTATTATCTTAGGCTAGTGCCAACAGTACTTAGCATTAGTACTGTAGAGTGAGAATTGCACAAATAGAATCATTCCGGGATTAGATAGCTCCTAAGGGTGAGCAGAATTTGTTAGCTCCTGAGGGTGAGTGGAAGAGTATAGTAAGCTTCTAAGGGTGAGTGGGAATTGAGGATCCTTAACTGTAGGCAAGACAGAAGGATTGATATATATTTGAGAATTGCTATTTCTCACCACTTAAGGAATTAAATTTGTGTGGGTGGAGTTAGGGTTGGGGTTAATCATAAATTGCATAATTCCTTAGGTGGGAACAATCACCACCAGTGAGAAATAGCAATTCCCTATATATTTTATTGGACTTTAATATTTTAACCTATATATTTATTGGACACATCACAAGCTGTATTTGAATTTACATGCTCACAATATTAATACACATGTTTTAATGTTATTTTATAGAAAAAATCCCTTCCAAATCACTTGTTAAAACTGGAAAGCTGTGCAATAACTATATTAATTTTGATGGTATTTACTGTATCTTTTTTGTTGTTGTAAAAGGTATCTTTTTTAATAAACTCCAATGAATTGTTTTATGATTTATTCATTTATAGATTACATGGAGAAAAACATTACAAAAAAGATGGAAATTTCTTTGTGTGTTGAAATAAACAAGAATATTCATTATATGACAAGCCCAGTTACATTTACATTTATAAAGGTTTGTGATTTTGAATTTTTTGACTTATTGGCAAATTTCATAAACACATTACTAATTGATATAATAATATTATTAAATAAAGAAAAAAAATGAATCATTTATATAAAATTGGAAGAACAAAAAGTATGGGTCAACATTTGGAGCAATGGGAAAAAACAAGTCATTACAAAGCAGAATTAAAATTAATAAAAGCTTTACCTGATGGCAAAAAATGTAAATATACTCATTGTATGGAAAGTAGTGATGTTAGCCGGCTAATAATCTGCATGGATAATTTCTAAATTTGGTAATATATTTCCGCGTTACTTTCTTGTTATAGAAATAAAATTACCAATTTAGGTAGTAAACGGCTTAGCCGGCCAATGATTTTTAAACGGCTAACATCACTAATGGAAAGGCTTATTCATTTAGAATTAGAAGTATATCGGGTTGATTTATTGTGTGAGTTTTGTAAACAAAATCATAATGAATGGTTTAAGTCAAACAAAAAGGTGGTGTGTTCAATAGTGGAGAAATGGGTGTTCTTTGTAGAGAAGGCTTACAGATTTGATTAATAATTAAAATAATAATGTATATATAATATGATTTTTATTTTTTAGCAAATAATAATACATAAATAATAAAGCTAACAAATAATTGAAGTAAGAAGATATATTATTTACATTGCACTAATTTAAAAGAGCTGGGAATTTCTCTTGATGAGGTATTAGATGCTTATCCTGAAAATTCAGAACCAATTCAGGAGTTAAAAACTCAATGCTTCACATCACCTATTGGAATAATATGCTCTCAAATTTCCAGATAAAAACAGCAGTGGAAGCATAATTGTAGATAGGTATTTACAAATCAGTTGATATTTGTATCTTGTAATGCACACATGATTCTTTTATATCTATCTGCATAATCAATCAGATAATCAATTATATCGTATGACACTTTAATGGGTTGTGCTACAAAAATTATTCAAAATTTCAATGCATATATACAACCACCTGATTATATGCATGAATGATTTATTTGAATGTTTATGAATGTTCCACTCTTCTAATACCAATATTCCGACTTGATTCTTGATATAGCATCTACATTTTGGTGTTTCTTTCCTGCCCTGTGCTCTACTTCGAAATTATAGGATTGTAAAGTCATAATCCATTGAGCTAGTTTCCCTTTAGGTTCTTTCATGTTATTCAAATATTTCAATGCTGCATGGTCAGTGATCAATTTAAACTTTGATCCACTAAGATACAAATGGAAGTGTTTGATTGCCCAAATAATGCCAAGGCATTCTAATTCAGTTGCTGCATAATTTCTTTCTGCAGGTTTCAATTATCTACTTGCATATGCAATTACTCTTTTGTTTCCCCCTTTGTCTAATTGTGAAAGGATTACTCCAACAGCAAAAGTTGATGCATCTGTTGATAGTATAAATGGTTTTCCCCAATCTGGATAAATTAAGATTGGTTCCATAGTTAGTTGTTGTCTTAAATCTTCAAAAGCTTGCTGATGTCTATTTGTCCAATTAAATTCTTCCCCCTTCCTTAATAGTTCTGTAAGAGGTGAAGCTCTTTTTGCAAATCCTTTGACAGACTTCCTGTAGTAATTAATTACATAATCCTAAGAAGCTTCGTATTTGGGTTACATTAATTGGCTTTGGAAAATTTTGAACCTTTTCTATTTTTGCAGGGTCCATTTTTATACCTTCCTTTCCTACAATGTGTCCTAGGAATTTTAATTCTGAGTTTCCAAATTGGCATTTCTTTGGACTTAGTTTTAATCCAGCTTTCTTTATACGTTCGAAAACGTTTTCCAAATGTTTTAAATGTTCTTCCCAGGTCTTAGAGAATATATTAACATCATCCAAGTAGACTACTACCGATTTCCATAATTCATCCCGAAGGACTTTGTCCATTAGTCTTTGAAATGTTCCTGGAGCATTTGTTAAACCAAAAGGCATAACAGTAAACTCAAACAATCCATGATGTGTGATGAAAGCAGTTTTATGTATGTCTTCAGGTTTCATTTCCACTTGCCAATATCCACTTGCTAAATCCAATTATGAAAACCATTGTGAACCTTGTAATGTTTCCAATATATCATCTATCCTAGGCAAAGGGTATGAGTCTTTCTTAGTCTTCTTGTTCAAGTCTTTATAATCTACACAGACTGAAGTTCTCTTCCTTTCTTTTCAACCATGACCACTCCTGAAGCATATTCACTATTGGATTCATGAATGAACCCAGAATCTAGCATTCATTGAATTTCCTCCTGTATAAATTTCCTTCTATCTGGCAACACTCTTCTAGGTTGATGCCTAATTGGTCTTGCATCTGTTAGATCAATACTATGGTAGGTCATGTTGCTTCTTCCAATGTCTGATTTTTCCCAAGCAAATATGTCATGATACTTGTATAATAGATCCATGAGTTGTTGTGTTGAGAATTGCTATTTCTCACCAGTGGTGATTGTCACCACCTAAGGAATTAAATTTGCATGGGGCAGAGTTAGGGTTGGGGTTAATCATAAATTGTATAATTCCTTAGGTGGTGACAATCACCACCAGTGAAAAATAGCAATTCCCTGTTGTGTTTGTTCTTGGTTAAGTTCCTTCCCAACATCAATAGCATAGGTACTTCCTTCTTCCTCTTCCTCTTCTATTTTTAAATTATAGGCTTGTACTTTCTCTTCCCAATTGCAATGACAATTCTTGTGAAATTCTTTGCAAATCTGTTTACACCATATACAACAGAATGATTATGGTGATCTTCTTCCCCACACTCACAAGGACAATGACTTCCTCAGAAGATATGCCATCCTTCTTTCATAGTAGTAAGTGGTCTTTCCTTTTCTGTTGCAAAATTGCAGATGGGTATTATCTGGGGATATGAGTCATCTTCATAATCAGTGTCTTCTTCATCTTCTATTTTGATTGGGGGTATTCTTCTAGTGGATTGTTCTGACATGAATACTTCCAATTCTTCTTCTTCTCTGGATGACAGTTCATCTTCATACTTGTGGGCTACATTGACTGTTGCTTTTTGATCCTTCCAGGAAAAGGTTAGTTTTGATTCACTCCAATTTACCACAGCTCCTACTTTAGACAACCAGTCATTTCCAAGTATAGCATGATAGGTATTTGCTTCTGTAACTATGGCTGATAATGGAATCATAATTCATCCTATAGTCAAAGGTAAATTATCTACTTCTCCCAAAGGTGAAGTCTTCTGTCTGTTTACATTAATAATTGTTACTGTTGATTTCCATGGGATTTCCATTCTGAGTTTGTCCAATAGTCCTTTGGATACTATACTCCCAGCAGCTCCACTGTCCACTATTATAGGAAAGTTCTTTCCACTTATACTGGCTTTACAATACATGGCAGTAGATCTCATGTCCACATTAAGTTGTTCAGCAGGTCATGTCTTCTTTGGTTTCCTTGTTTGAGGAGTTCGCAAACTCTTTTCCATCTCAGATCTTAACTTGGGCATTGCATGAAACAATTGTCTGAAAGTAATGTCAGCTTTCTGTTTCTTTATGTCTGTAACTATTGAGTAGGGTTAGATTAGATTCGAAATAGGAAGTTGAGTAGCATTTCTTTTCTTCCTTGCTGGTTTTCATTTTGCATCCTTGGTTTCGTTATGACTTGGTTCCTTCCTTTTCCTTGCATCACTGTCTTCATCATCTTGAACATCCATTGCTATTCCACCTCCATCCTCAATGGTCTTCTGTCTTTTTGTTTCTACTGGCAACATTAGTTTCACTGTCTTTTTATTTTCAAACCAAATCTGCCAACATGGAATGTTGGTTATTATTATTCTAGCAATTATTATTATTTACCCTTGTTGTATTTCCATTACTGTTGTTATTATTATTGTTATTATTATTGTTGCCTTGGTTACTACTTCCTCCATTATTCCCATTATTATTTTGGGGGCAATTCATACTATAGTGTCCTGGTTCTCTACAGCAATAACAAACAACTCCTGCCTTGCCACTATTATTATTATTTATATATATTGTGAGTGTGCAATCCGAGTTTTCTAGTTTATTAGGTTATTTATTTATTCAACACACAGCTAGGTCTCTTACCTACTGTTTTACAGTTGACTTCTTTTATCTCCTT